ACTCGCGCAAGAGGGGATAGTAAACTGCCAAAGGGAAATAAGAGGCCGGGAATAAGTAATGAAAGAAAAAATAAATCATAAGAGAAAAATAAACAATGAAGTGAAGGAGAAATACCGGGCTCGAAAGACTTGCTATTGTACTCGAGGGAAAGGTTATGTTCGACCAGGCTCTCCTCCGAAACAAGGTCCTTGTAGATGCGCTCCCCCTCGTCAAGTCCTAACAGAGTCTCGACCTTGGTCACCAGCTCGTCGCTTGGTTCGAACCGGGGGTTTTGGACTGAAACGCAAACACCGACCTGTTAGCATGAAAAAAAACGATAAAATCAGAAGATAGGAAATGAAATGAAATTGGCACTTACAGGGGCCCGAGATGAACTCAGTGATTGGGTGCCGGACTGCGTCGGGCGTCCTCCACTCACCACCGACCCAGAACCACTCCGGCATATAGCCGTGCAGAGATTCTGGGACTTTGTGAATTAACGACTTGCTCACGCCCGGGACGACCGAGCTGTAATAATTGCCGGTCTCCCCGGATTTCTTGAAGACAAACAAAGACCCGACGTCGGCACTCGTCGGATCCGTCCACCCTTGCCGTCGAAACAGGACGATGAGGCCGACCAGCCGAGCGAAAACCGTCGGCACGAGCTGACTTATGCCTATACCGAGGTCACATAGGATGTCGTTCAATGCTCCGGGCAGCGGAAATCTGAGGCCGAGCAAGATACTCGCCCGATAGACGCCGATGCAGCCCGGTGGCGGGCAGTGGATGCGTTCACCCGCGTAGGGAGCAAAGACCCTCACCCCGGCACCGAAACAAGCCTTGCCTCTCAATTTGGCCAGGTCGAGGTCGGTCAATACCGAAGGGGTTATCCACGCGGTTGCAGAAGCCGCGGAGGGCCACACCCGGGGAGGACGGCACCAACACCCGGGAGGAGCCGAGGTGGCGGCCTCGACCGCGGCATCGACCTCGGCATCCTCGCGCGCCATGGGGACGCGCTCTCGCCCATAGGTGTCGCCTCGAAGCGTCTCTTCGACCAGCTCGGCGTCCACATCAGATTCGACAGGAGAAGGGGCGCCAGCCTCCTTCTCTGCTTCCCCGGAGTCTGACTGACCTGACCCGAGGTCGATTATCTCGATTGTGGGAAAGTCCGAGGGCTCCCCACGACGCGCGTCTGTAGCCGCCGCCGCCGGCGTCACGCGAACGGCGGAGATCGGGGTTACTCTGAGCGGTCGCATCGCCCCGGTCGTCGGCGGGGAGTAAACGACTAACTCCCCGGTTTCTTCCGCCGTGAAGCAGCCGTCTCCGGCGGGGAGGTTCGCAGCATGGTCGGATAAATTCGACATGGTAGAAAGAAAATAGAGGAAAAGATCTCAGATAAACGAAATTACCGGTGTAAGAGTCGCTGGGAAATCGCAAGAACCTCGAAAGCTGCCCTGAAAATCTGCTCGGAAGTCCGGGTGCTTGAAAGTTCGGTTGCTCAGAAATCTGGAAAAACTCGTAAAAGCTTTTTGAGGAAGACGGTGGGGATATATATATGAACCTAGGGCCAATCATAGCATTACACGTGGCGCAACGTTTGAAATTCAAAATCAATGATATGATCCAACGGTTGGGGGCGAAACGATCCAACGGTTCGTAAACGGCCGCGTGAAAGCCACGCGCCACAAAAGTCACCGTTTCGTTGGGACGACACGTCGTTTGGAAAGCGCCAATTAATGAGCGACACGTGTAAAGGCTCTGAACCGGCACACCTTTTCGTAACCGGCAAAAAGCGCAACGGTCACGACGCATTAAATATGACGTCGCTTCAAGTCTGGAGATAACGGGCAAATGGTGGTTGCAATTTGCTCAAGTCCAAGTCACGCGCCGACCTCAGATGTATTCTAAGATGACGGCCTCACAGAGGATGCCGAGTACACCCTCTCTGAGCCCGGGGGCCTGTATGTTGACATCCGAGTTCGCCGATAAGACCG